TTAGTCCTCCCTTACCCAAACTGGAGAAAGAAAGGTAGCACTCCTGTAGTAATTTAGCTAGGACCATGGTTAGAGAGTCCATGCCTGGCAAGCATAAGCTAAACCAGATATGCTAGGACAGAGAAACCAACTCACCAGGTTGAAGACAAGCCACAGAGGTTTATTACGATTTAGCCAAAAAGGATGCGAGCGCAGCAATTTTCTTCAAAATGTACAAGCATAAAAATAAAGAGGAGTACAAGACATCTAATACAGGTTTGACAGCTATTCAGACTTCCTGCAGCCTCTCGTGATTTGCTGGGGAGAAAAGGCAGGCTGGGATCTGTGCCGGGATTGGTGGGGAAGGATAATGGCAACTGGGGATTGGTCAGAGTAAAGGATCAATCAGCTGCAGAGATGTCCCCTGGGAGGGCATAGTCTGGGGAAAACAAATGATAAAGATATGTTGATGAGTTTTTGATTAGCTCAGATGCCCAGTTCTGTGCCAAACAAAGATATGATCTTAGGAAAGAAAGCTGCAAGACTCAAGGGACAAAGGTGCTGATCTTGGGTAATAGGGGTTGGCTGTCAAAAAAAGAATTAATGAATGCACATACTCTATGCTTATATTTCCATGCAGGAGCGGCAGACTCTCCTCAGCTTCATATCACTTGTACCAACATTTCGGGTTTATCTGACTGGCAAGTTTGTAAGCCCTTCTTTAAAACCAATATTAAGAAGCTCTGGATTAAGAGACTTGCAAAAAAAAGGCTTACAAACTTTGATATGTTATTGATAAACTTTTGGCTTTCAAGAAGGACTTACAAACTTTTGCATTTTGCTGTAAGAATCAGTTGTTTATCCCACATAAGGAAATCTTTTGGTTTAGAGAATTGCATGAAGTATACTTTGTACAAGATGCTAGTACATTTAATGTTATAATACTATGAGCATAGATATGATATACATTCTTATGATTATATAACTGTATTACTTTTATTCGCCCTTGTATTCGCCCTTGTATTACAGGCTCACCAGGAAGTAAATCTTAGTGAACACAATATTGAAGCCTTGCATAAAAAAAATTTGATACTCTAACTGTAGGTCCTGCAACCAGATGGGGTCCCTTTAGATCAGTGGTCCCCAACTTGTGGTCTATGGACCACCAGTTGTCTGGATGAGTGAAAATATGGTTCGCAGCCTCACCATTACTACACCATTGACTCAAAACCATATGGCAATGAGAGCGACTGGTCTTGCGAAGCCCTCTTATAGTGCTGAGGCAACAGGGATGTCGGGAGGGGAGAGGTGGATTACCCACGAAAAATTATACTACTACATCAGCTCTAGATTATTAAATATTGTTTCCTGTCGGTGAGCAGATGGTGACTACTGCATGGCATATGTTCTGTATCAGAAACTAGAGCTGATGTGGCCTATCCAATGCAATTTTCTGAATCAGCACCCCCCAAATAACCAAACAGAATCTAAAGTTGACCACAAACTGATTCATAACCCTTTTGATACTAATGTTGGAGAGTGGTCTTTGGTCAAAGTGGACCGTGGTAAAAAAAAAAATTGGGAACCACTGTCTTAGTTCAGTGTTGGGGTCCTGATATAGGTAAAGGTAAAGGTCTTCCCTTGACATTAAGTCCAGTCGTGTCCGACTCTGGGGTGTGGTACTCATTCCCATTTCTAAGCTGACAAGCCAGTGTTGTCCGTAGACACCTCCAAGATCATGTGGCCAGCATGACTTCATGAAGTGCTGTTAACTTCCCGCCGATTGATCTACTGACATTTGCATGTTTTCGAAATGCTAGATTGGCAGAAGCTGGGGCAAACAGCAGGAGCACACACTGCTCCCCGGATTTGAACCTTTCGGTCAGCTGAAATACTTGGCCACAATCAAAGTTTTCTGAATGCCATCTAGTGGTGGTCTTAGAGATTTAGATGAATTTGAAGTGCATTGTCTGCAGTGGACTCTGCAGAAGTTGCTTCAACTGTACTAAAAGGAAAATCAGTCTGTTTAGTAAGCCTTGCAAATGCCGATTTATTATCAGTTTGATTTTTCTACCTGTGTTCCTGGAGTCAGGTAAAAATTTCTCAGGCCAAAGGGGGCAGTGAGTGGAAATGTCTGTGAAGCCCTGGTCTAACATAGCTGTAACACTTTTTCTAATACAAAGTGATTCAGCTATGTCTGTGTGAAAGAAAGCAGTTTCACTCATCTGCTTTTAACCTCTAATCTTCAAAATTGAACCATTTTTTTGTTACCCTCCACTCGTTCATACCTCTGTTTGTGTGAATCTTCCAGCATGACTAGTAATTATGAAAGAAATAGTTCCCATCCCATAGCTTCAACCCACCAGTGAAAGATTAGTGTTGTAAAGAACAATGAAGATGATAGTCACTTAATTCAGAGGTCAACTGCTCAGAATGAGCAGAAAATTACAGTTCTCGATAGCAGTGGTGATTATCTGCTTTCAAAATAAAGCCAGTGTAGGTGGAAATTGAGGTTATTTATATACAGACATAGATAATGGTTTTAAGCAGAATAAGCAAAGGAGAAGTATGCAATGATTATAATATTGAGTTATATAGGGCAATGAATCAGACATGGAAAATTCAGGCTACTCTTATATTTTAGCAGATACATCATCTGCACATTGTCCATAGCACACTCTTTCCAGTTTTTTAAATGTTAGTGAATAATACTAAATTTTCTACAGAGTGTGCTAATTGAAGGTCGCTTGTGCTCATTTATACACGTAAAATTTCTTCCTTCTTTTAGGTTTGTTTTACACCTACCGCTTTTGAGAACAATATTTCCCGTAGCACTATATGAAATTGATATTCCCATAAATTTCAAGGACAGAGGTTTCTTCCCATTTTATGGAAGTCCAGCCCTTCACAGAAAGCAAAATCTAATACCAAGAGAGTCCTCTAGCACCTCTTAATTCCAGCCTAATAACACAAAATGTTCTAAAATAGGTCTCAGAATTAATGAGATTATTCTTCCATGTTTATCATTTTTATATCTCCCATTTTAAGACATACATTTTGGCTTTAGGCACAAATCTGCATGGAAGCAGGTAATAAAGCATGGCAATTTTAAAGAAAAAGCAAATAATGTTATGTCATGGAGATTTGATATATTGACCATTAAAAGATGCACACTGAACGATTATTAGGTGACAGTGAAATATTGCAAAGCAGACGTAAGATTGACAGGGCTGAAGGACCCACTGTCACTGAGGAAAGTTTTTTTTTTAATGTATCGGATCTGTGGTGTATTGTGTTAGTTCAGTGGATTTGGATTAGGGTCAGCAGACATAGGCTTAATACTGTCTAAATGTGCAAATTGCTTCCTGCTCATTACATTGCTGCTGGGACTCCTTGTACTTTTGGGGAAAGTAATTGGTTGGAAGATGAATGAACCAGCACTGAGAATCTTATTGAAATTTATTGCCTCCAGCCATTGTACCACAGTTCACTGTATTGAGCCATAAAAATGAACTGAGGCCCCATCTACACTGTCATATATTGCAGTTTCAAACTGCATTATATGGTTAGTGTACGTAGACCCATATAATGCAGTTCAATGCAGTTAGACTGCATTATGTGAGTGCACTGGCCATATAATACAGTTTCAAACATCCTCATATGGCAATGTAGATAGGGCCTGAGTTATAAGAATCTGGACAATTTGCTGCCCTATAACTTGTTAACTCTAACCCTATAGTGATAAGTTGATGGATTGAAACCTAGAAGTTCTCATTCTCCATGTAAATGTTCAGAACATAATAACTTGTTCATTCTATTCATCATAAAATCATGCAGGTCCTTATGTCATCCGAAGATAATTTTAAAGATGCAAACCTTTTGCTATGATTTGTAGGAAAGCCAGTTACACTCTTTTGTAGTGAGGTTTCCACAGAAACCTTTTTTCTGGTTAAAACACCAACCTTGAATGGTCATATGGACTTGGGTTTTCTTTTAATACCATCGAGAGATGTAGTTACACAGTAGAATCAATGCAGTTTGTCACTGCTTTAGCTCCATTGGCACAATGCTATAGACTCCATTTATAGTTTGGTGAGACACTAGCACTCTTTGGCAGAGAAGGCTCAATATCTTATAAAAGGACAACACCTGTAATTCCATAGCATTGAGACATGATAGTTAAAGTGGTGTCAAATAGCATCGTGTAGTGGTTCTCAACCTGTGAGTCCCCAGATGTTTTGGCCTTCAACTCCCAGAAATCCTAACAGCTGGTAAAGTGGCCAAAACACCTGGGAACCCACAGGTTGAGAACCACTGGCAGTGTGGATGCATCCCAGGTCTCTGCTACAGCTTCTGAGCTTAGGGTAGAAGTGACTATATTATGAAATTCCTTCTCCAAAGAGTTTTTTAAAAATTAAAAACAAACACGATTTCAACATGTTTCTTTTAAACAAAGAAATACTCTCTTTTTATCTTCCTATTTTTTTTTAAAAAAAATACTTATCGCAAAGATCACCCACTTCCATGGAGGTAGGTCATCTTTGTGATCTTAGATATACACATACACACACAGAGAGAGATTTCTTTGTTTGAAATCAATTCTCTAATCTTTTATGCTTTAACTGCATCCTTTTCTCTGACCTGGGGATGTGGGAGTGTGCTTGATATGTGACAAGTATGCTCCTGAATGCAGCCTACAGAAACTGGAATTTCTTAGTGGTTCCCCATCCAAGTGCTAACCAAAATTGAACCTGCTTAGTTTCCAAGTTTTCAGGTAAATTCTGGTGCCTTTGTGGTATTTAGGCTTAAAGAAACTTACTAATAAGTAAATCCGAATGAGCTTAAGTCCACTTAACTTCTGAATGAATTCACTTAAGAGAGCATAGTAAGAAGAGTACCATATTTTTATTTGACAGTAACTCTTTTCAGTGTCCTATAAATGTTTTAACTATATTGGCACATTTTCACTCAAGGCTTTTTTTTTAACAAAATGAAGTTCATTAAATAATACTTTTCATCAGTTTCAGATGCAGGAATCTATATCCCATGCCCTTGTTTTGCTTGGCCGATGCAGCACTTTGAGGAACTCTACAATATCCCTGCTTTTCAGAGAAGTCTGTCGATTTGCTGATGAGTTGCAGCATGCCAATAAGGTACCATTATGCTTGAGATTTTACAGCTGCCATAAAGATTTTAAGTGTTATAGATTTCACCTTGGCACTGGAGAATATCATTTTTAAAGTGTAAAGTTACATCTTGAAAATCTTTCCATGTTTACTTTATGTTGTAATTTTGGCATTGAATTTCAAAATATAGGTGAAGATTGTCTGTGGAGATGATTCAGTAGGGATTGATGAAGTGTATCTGAACTAGGATTGATAATGATTTTTTCCAAGAGTGAAGGGGGTAGGAAAAACCCAAAAAGTCCAAAAGAAAGGATGAGCTTTTATGGCCCTTACTTTTCCAGTTCCAATCAAAATTTGAACAGGCAAAATGTTTCCACTCAGCCTACTATGATCTGTCTTCACCATTGAATCTGAATTCCTATATTACATCATTATTCATATATGTAAGTTTAACTGAGATGATCCTGATCCTGTTTAATTGCTCTGTTCTCATGATATCTCCTGTGCCATTTATGTTCCTATCCACCCTATTGAATTATTTACCCTTTAATGAGTTTGTATGTTGGCCTTTCCCCCCTCCCCCTCCAAAATTGGTTTGCTGTTTCTTGATACTTGTTTATTGCTGTTATGCTGTTCGTGCTATTTTAATTTGTAATTTGCTGTTTTCTTTGCTTTTAATCTGTATGTTGCTTGGGCTTGGCCCCATGTAAGCCACCCCGAGTTCCCTTGGGGAGATGGACGCGAGGTAGAAAAATAAAGTTCTTCTTCTTCTCTTCTTCTTCTTCTAATATCGACACTTTTTTGCTAATCCATATCCTACAACATACTCTATTTTTTTTACATGCCTCCCTTTTTAAAAACCGATCATCATAGAAGTGGTGGCTCGGTTTTCCCTTCCTTCTTAGCAGCCTTTGGAAATTGCACATCTCCCGTGAGGCACTGCTCTGAATCACAAACATGCTGCATTACCACTCTTCCCAGTGGTGAGAATGACAAGGAAGGAGAAGCCATCTGAGATTGCCACACATATCGGTTTTTAAATGATAAACAGAAGAGAAGAATTGGTTTTATTTCTGGAGATGTGGGCAAAGTCTGCTGAAGATGGGGGGAGAGAGGTGTATTTCTGAAAACAATCTGTTTTTCCTCCTAAGAAAGATTTTTTTGTAGGTCTCGACCAACCCTATTTTTAACCACCATATGTTTTCCTTCCGTCTCTTTTCATTCTTTGAGGATTATTCGAATATGTGCACATAGGCTTTATAATGGTATGGATCTTTGTGCTGCTACTGCTTATTATTATTGACTTGACATTTATATTTCAGATATAGCATTTTGTGTTCAGAATCTTAATATTTCTTAAAACATATCTGGGCCCCATCACAGTTTTCACTGGCTGTTTTGTTTTTGTTTTTCATGTCAAAAGTTACTTGAGAAAGTCACTTCTGGTCTGTAAGAATTGGCCGTCTGCAAAGATGTTGCCCAGGGTATGCCCAGATGCTTGGTTTTTTACCATCGTTGTGGGAGGCTTCTTTCATATCCCTGCATGGGGAGCTGGAGCTGACAGAGGGATCTCAACCTGCTCTTCCCGGATTCGAACAGCTGACCCATCGGTCAGCAGTCCTGCTGGCACTGGCTGATGGGAACTACCTCCACTGGCTACCAGTTTGCTACCAGGCACAATTCAAAGTGCTAGCTTTAGCCTATAAAGCCCTAAACGGTTCTGGCCCTACTTACCTCTCCGAACGCATCTCCTCCTATGAACCGACTAGGACACTAAGATCATCTGGGGAGGCCCTGCTCTCAGTCCCGCCTGCATCACAGGCGCGCTTGGCGGGGACGAGAGACAGGGCCTTCTCAGTGGTGGCCCCTCGGCTGTGGAACGCCCTGCCTGCAGATATCAGATTGGCCCCCTCCCTGCTGGCGTCTCGGAGGAAAGTGAAAACCTGGCTGTTTGAACAAGCATTTGATTAAACAGTGTAATTGAACATAGGAATATGGAATAATGGATGACGAGACTTTATTCTGATTTTACTGTTGAGGCGCTAATGATTGTTATACTGATGTTAATGATTTATGTGATAATTGTTTTTAATTGCCCTATACTTGTTTTGTGATATTTTGTACTGATGTTGTTCACCGCTTTGAGTCGCCTGAGGGCTGAGAAAAGCAGTATAGAAATAAAGTAAATAAATAAATAATATATATGTTTTGAAGGTGGATCCCAGGACAAAATCACAAAAAAAAATCAAACACAGAAAGAAAGAAATAAACAACACAAGGGACTTTGTCACCTATGTAAAAGGAATATCACTGGTCCTGAAGGCTGGCAGCAGATGCAGTTCACCTCCTTTGTCGGAGAAAGGACAGTCTAGTGATTCTCAACCTGTGGGTTCCCAGGTGTTTTGACCTACAACTCCCAGAAATCTCAGCCAGTTTACTAGCTGTTAGGATTTCTGGGAGTTGGAGGCCAAAACATCTGGGGACTCACAGGTTGAGAACCACTGGAGAGACTTTCAGGCCATCGGGGCTCCTGAAATATGCTTTCTGGAACTTTGTAGAAAGCTAACATTAAGATCAGAGAAAGCTGTAACAGAGATAGGACAGAATTTGGGGGAGTGTGAATTATTAAATAGTCAAGGAGCTCATTTATTATCTAAACACATTTTTATAAACTATTTTTTTTAAAAAAAACTGATAGTTTCAATTGTGTTTGATAGCATGAATGCACAAGAAAGATATCCACTGGTTTATTTATGAGTCATCTTAATAGGAATTAGGAGGGGGAAAGAAGGCAAGATAAAGGAGACCAAGAGATGGAACTATGGGGCCAACCTGGAGAGGAGACACATCACACATATTTAATGGTCTGCCTATCCTTGCCTTACAGCTGTAATAAGAAGTGTTAGCTTAGGGGGCTTTTTTAGCCATGTAAGAATGTAGTCCTGTTCATACTTGTCGTACGTCATAGGATTTTCAGTGAGCAAATGCAGGACTGAGAGAACTGCAGCTTGCCTAAATTGCCGTGTGTGGCTGAGGCATAATTTGAGCCATTAATTTACAGTCTTGCAGATCTTTCTCTTAGCTACCATGCTGTGCCATTTTTCATTCCTCCAATTACTACTTAGATCAGCCATTGGCTTTCAGAATTACCACAGTATTCACTTAATGTGCTTTGCTGATTCTATCTTAAACAATGCGACTTTTTCTAGATAACTGTCAGGGACACATAGATACTTCAGGAGTTCAGAAACTATAGTCGTTCGTTTATCTCGTATTTCTACTTCAATAATCTGAAAGAAATTTGAGGGATATTTGAGAAATCTGCAGAACTATCTTTTTAAAACTTACTAAATTTACTTGGAATACACTTGCAAGTTGATATCAGTTGTTGTAATACAAGAAAGTTTGTGCAGAAATGTATTGAAGAAAAATATGCCTCTCTTCAAAAGATAGGCTTTGAAAAATGTATACAAAAATGCATACTTTGAGATGTACATGGAAATACCTATTATTCCATACTATTTTGGCATCTGTTAACTGCAAAAAAATGAGCTAGATCAAGCTTGGCAGATTCTTCAATCCCTAAAGCTATATCACAGCTTCCTAAATGTAGTCAGATTACATAAAGGACTGTGAGAAATCACAGAGGAGAGAAGATTAAAAGGTGCAGTTTCAAATGGAAACATGGGGAGGGCAAACTGTCAGGGAAGTATTTCAGGCTCACTTTGCTTTCCATCTGTGACCTTAAAATCACTTTACTGGAAGACAGTAATTGCTAAGCCTACAACTGGAATTAGCAAATTTGATTGTAGTTTCAGGGCATGAAAATGAATGTGGTTAGTTCTCTCACTCCAAAAAGGATTTTTTTCTGATTCATAGGGTTTCTGTTCATCATTATTTTAGGGTGCTTCTACACTGACATTTGGCAAATTGGGCCATTTTACATTATTCATTGCAATACATTCTTGTTGGTTCCTATTTTGTTCGCTTGGGCTGCTTTCATGTGACGTTTGTATTGTGAACCCTCCTTGCTTCATTTGCAGCATTTCATAGAATCATGGAGTTGGAAGAGACCTTGTGGGTCATCCAGTCCAATCCCCTACCAAGAAGCAGGACAATCATGTTCAAAGCACCTCCAACAGATGGCCATCCAGCCTCTGCTTAAAAGCCTCCAAAGAAGGAGCCTCCATCACATTCTGGGGCAGAGAGTTCCACTGCTGAACAGCCCTCACAGTCAGGAAGTTCTTCCTAATGTTCAGGTGGAATCTCCTTTCCTGCAGTTTGAAGTCATTGTTCCACGTCCTAGTCTCCAGGGCAGCAGAAAACAAGCTTGCTCTTTCCTCCCTAAGCTTCCCCTCTTCTGCAGGCTAAACATGCCCGGCTCTTTAATTCGCCCCTCATAAGGCTTGTTCACCAGACCCTTGATGGTTTTAGTCACCCAGGGTGTCTAAAGGATGACATCTTCCATCCTTCCATGTCCTTCTCTTATGGGAATGATGGTGATGGTATCAGTACATTAAGAGAGGAAAGTGCAGTCACTTATGAATAAAAGCTCTTTATCTGGAAACCCCTGTGGTAAATATATTATTTGTGCATTGTAAATTAATACGTGGTATGCCCACAGTTTTTTCAGTCTTGCTTAGACCACTGATACAAGCAGACTGTTGCTGATAACATGCAACAGTCATCTTGGTGACAAAAGTGTAGTCTTCCTGGTATCCTTGTACCATAACACCTATCAGCCTCAGGCAACACAGTGATGAATGATGGGAATTACGGTTCACCAAAATCCAGAGGGATAGATTTTCTCCACCCCTGCTGTAGTCCCTTGTATGTCTTACCACTTTTTGACAATGCCTTGAAGATATGCTATGCTTATTGAAAGCATCAATGAGAAATATTAAAGAAGTGGAAGTACTTTATAATGCAAAAAAGATGGCTTGGATCAAGGAAAAAGTGAGCAGTCAGAAGCAGAATTGCAGCTTTTTTATTTTTTGTTTATGTAAGTAGCATTTCTCCTGGGAGGG